TGTATATATAGTAAATTAAGTATATGTATATGAATGTAGTATATGTATTTTTAACAATCGTCTTGCATTTATAAACTAATTATTTTTATTAGAAGAGGCAATACTCCTCATAGGACAGCGTTAATATTGCTGACGATTCTGTGTCATCTAAACATACATTACCAGCTCTTCAATATGGCTGTCAGTCTTTATTCTAGTCTAAGAGAAAAAATTCTCTATGAAAAATAATTATTTTTTGAAAGTCCATATACTTAAATAATTAAGCATTATCTCAAAATAATATAAAGACCGACTAAAAATTCAAGATTAGTGAATTTAAATATTTATTTGAGTTTGCAAAGTTTCCAAACATTCAGACTATCAGATTTATTGGCTTTCTTCTATACGTACTCTACTTCCAATATTGCTGGCTTTGCAGTTTTTGTCAGAAACTTTCGTTCTATAAAAATTTGTTCTTATTTTTGGTGTTACTATTATTTCTTTTATTATTTAACCAACTATATCTCTATAAGATTTTGAGCCCAAAAGGATACGGCTTCGATATTAATACTAACATGCTCCTTACTTATTTGTAATTTTTCTAAAAACTTGCTCTACCTACTCCATTCCACCGATCACCATACCAATAATCGCGTATATGCTTGATGTCTTGTGGTTTAATAAATATTATTTTTCTAAACAACTTGTTTTTTTACAAACTTAAATAAAATAAAACAGTTTTTTGTTGATTTAATTTCAGCATTAATTTTAAATTCTTAATTCCTAAACACAATTAAATTATGTTAGTAGACTTTTCTTTTTTTCATGATTACTGGAAAACCATTATATGAACGAAGTATGACTGCATATTCAATTTGGATACTTTCCTTACTTGGTAGTAACTCAAAAGTTGATACAACTTTTGCCAAAATCATTTTCATTTCCAACATTGCGAACTTTTGTCCAATACAGTTTCTGGGTCCAGCACTAAAAGGCAAATAAACAAATGCAGATTCCATTTTCATGTTCTCAAATCGTTCAGGTATAAACTCTTCTGGATTCTCATAATTATCCGGATCACGCATTGTATTAAAAAAGTCAACGTAAACCTCTGTAGTCGCTGGTAACACACCATCACCAATCTTTGAATGAGCTGAAATATTTTTGTGTGACATTATGGACTGAGTTTTGTGTTAATTTCTATACAAAATACTTTAATTTTAAAATACGTACAATACTTAAAGTCCGACATAATTTTTCTTCCAATAATAGGCACTGATGGATACAAACGTAATGTCTCCTTAATAACATATTCAGTATACTTTAATTTGTTAAGATCTTGGATTTTAATAGGATTGCTACTACTAAAATTTATAACATCATTAACTTCAGTCAAAATTTTTTCCTGCACCTGAGGGTGTAGAGATATTTCGAATAATGCGAAACAAATTGCCGATGTTGTTGTGTCATGTCCCTCAAACGTAAATGTATCAATTTCCTCACGAATATCCTCATTCGTTAACGGAATTCCATCAACATTGGATTGAAGTAACAAGTCCAAGAGAGCTTTTCGCTTTTTGGTACCAATCATCTCATCGTCTTCGTTTGATTTTTCTTCAGTGGATTGAGACAAGTCTATTTCCAATTCATGACGACGTTTTTCAATTATTTGTGTTGAAAATTTTTTTAAAAGTCTTGTTAATTTTATTTGTCTTAGCTTTAAATGTGGACAACACAACGAAAAAATCAATTCACTCTGATATGGCAGTTTTAACGAACGCCAAGCTATTAAATCAGTAATCCTGTAATTTTGAAACCAAATTTTATTAAATTATTTTTGTTAGAAATTCTTGCCTTCTTTACTCTTTTACAGCATTTGCATATTCAACGCATTTATCCGTTTGTGCATAAATTTTTGTACCTAACGCACTTTCTAAAATTTGGGGAAGGATATTATATTTTATAATGATACTTTTTCTTATTACCTGCAAAAATATCTAAAGATGCTGCACAAATAAATGGTTGAATATCGAAACTCTTCACACCATCAGCTTTAGTTGCCAAACGGTCTAAAAGTATAGTACTTTGTTGATCGAAAACTTTTACAAATTCCCCCAAAATCTTAAAATGAAAAGCTGGAGTGATAATTTTACGCCGTGCAAACCATTTTCTACCATCGCTAAGAAGTAAACCAACGCCGAGCCAATCTTTCAAAAAGTCATAAATTTGCAGTTTCGTTATGGTCTGATTGCTGGACAAAACTTGTTCGATCATCTCCACATCTTTGCATATGACAAAAAGTCGATGAAAAATCCAACCGTGTACCAATTTACCATATTTCGCATAGTAGTTTTTAACCATTTGATTTAAATCTATTTATTTGTTAATTCGTATAATAAATTTATATTTAATATTAGTTTATTGATTTACGCACTTGTCTGACTTAAGTTAAAAAATACTGAAACCGTGCCGAATATCGGATATATATCTAAACTTGGAACATTACGTATTAGTAGATATCTTCTCCTGTTGTAGAAGTGTAGAAAAAGTGCTGCTGAGAGAAGTATTACAGTCGATAGCAGTATCATTTTCCGGATTAAACAATCGTATATTTTATAGAAAACTAATATCTGTTTTATTGCTTCGGACTATATATAAAAATATTTTATCAATGCAAAAAATAAAGCTATAATTAAAATATATTACACAAACCGTATATTAACAATGTAAGCAGAATGACTTTAACACATAAATATAATTGCTTTATATATATGGTTATATATTAAATTTTATCTTCCTCCCATTTAAATATCCTGTCATGACGATTTAATTGCTCTAGCTATTATCTTAAATGCCGCAGCACTCAATTAAGTAATTTTCAGTTTATTTTCATTCAAGTTGTAGATATAAAAACTCGTGTTGTAAGCAAAGAACCAATAATCACATAATTAGTCTTTCATACATAAAATCATTTGAATATGGCGAAAAAAGTGAATAATAACAAAAAATAAAAAGCTATTAAATTATTCACGATTCGGTTGCAAAAATTTTCGACTTTTAACACACATATACTTAAATAACAACCTTAGTTTTTGGACTTGAGTTAAAATGGCGTCGTTAAGCCACAACTGGGCAGCCGTTACGGTTGACCTAACCCGCGCAATTACTACTCTTACGTTCCCGTTGTGCACCATGGGCTACGTGAGCAACATATGAGCGGAACAAGGTAACCAATTTATGTGGAGCTCTAGGTCTCGGCAAACGAGAGAGAGCCTTTGTGGGGCCACTTCGACATATTCGATTTAAGGGCCCGCCGATGTTTGGCAGCTCATGAATACCTCGCTGCAGCGGGCGTCTGACTTGTATCAAACTGAGTTTGTCCAGTCTGACTATATAAATATGTTCACTTGGAGACTCTGACTCACCTATAGATTCACAAAACCTTGATAATCAAACAAGGAAAAATATTACACAAGGGGTAATTATATCTTCTGCATAAGGCACAAGGATTTTGGAGGTGCCAAATCTATGTAGGAGGAAAAGGCTCTATGCTCCATTGGAAGAGGAGGATAAGAGAAAAAAGAGAGAAATACTATTGGGAGTAAAATATAAAATAATTTGAATTCAATGAAAACAAAAGTCAATGCAAAAAATTTAATTGTTTTTACAGTTACACTTAAACAATCTTCACTACCTCAAAGATCCAAGATTGATCAAAGTAGTGAAATGAATGAAATAGTGAAACAGCTTTGAAACAGCTTTGAAACAGAAAAAGATGTAATAGTCTGTAATAGTCTAGTTTAGTGTTCGATAGCTGTTCGTATTCGATTTTACAAAGTATTCGGAGAATTCGATTAATCGTATAATAAACGAAGTCTTCGGAAATGAAAAAAATATTAGATTTTTTGTGAATCCGGAGTCTTCAAATATCTGGATTTGCAATTATTATTCGCAGTAAAATTATTGAGACACTTCGTGAGCAAAACTTAAAGAGGAGCACTAAATGGAAAAGAATGTACAGAATGTAACAATTAATACAAATTCTTTTAGGGATGATAGAATTTGTTGTTGTTTGTACGATTGAGTGTATTTGGTATTTTACGCAGAAAATTATATGTACATAATGTTTGTTTCATATCATTTTATTTATTTCATTTTATTACATATTAGTAAACAAAAAATTTGCATTGTAAATAACTTATATTAATATTGGTGATTCACATTAGAGAAATTATATTGATGAAAATTTGAAATATAATACAAAATATACCATATGTATATATAGTAAATTAAGTATATGTATATGAATGTAGTATATGTATTTTTAACAATCGTCTTGCATTTATAAACTAATTATTTTTATTAGAAGAGGCAATACTCCTCATAGGACAGCGTTAATATTGCTGACGATTCTGTGTCATCTAAACATACATTACCAGCTCTTCAATATGGCTGTCAGTCTTTATTCTAGTCTAAGAGAAAAAATTCACTATGAAAAATAATTATTTTTTGAAAGTCCATATACTTAAATAATTAAGCATTATCTCAAAATAATATAAAGACCGACTAAAAATTCAAGATTAGTGAATTTAAATATTTATTTGAGTTTGCAAAGTTTCCAAACATTCAGACTATCAGATTTATTGGCTTTCTTCTATACGTACTCTACTTCCAATATTGCTGGCTTTGCAGTTTTTGTCAGAAACTTTCGTTCTATAAAAATTTGTTCTTATTTTTGGTGTTACTATTATTTCTTCTATTATTTAACCAACTATATCTCTATAAGATTTTGAGCCCAAAAGGATACGGCTTCGATATTAATACTAACATGCTCCTTACTTATTTGTAATTTTTCTAAAAACTTGCTCTACCTACTCCATTCCACCGATCACCATACCAATAATCGCGTATATGCTTGATGTCTTGTGGTTTAATAAATATTATTTTTCTAAACAACTTGTTTTTTTACAAACTTAAATAAAATAAAACAGTTTTTTGTTGATTTAATTTCAGCATTAATTTTAAATTCTTAATTCCTAAACACAATTAAATTATGTTAGTAGACTTTTCTTTTTTTCATGATTACTGGAAAACCATTATATGAACGAAGTATGACTGCATATTCAATTTGGATACTTTCCTTACTTGGTAGTAACTCAAAAGTTGATACAACTTTTGCCAAAATCATTTTCATTTCCAACATTGCGAACTTTTGTCCAATACAGTTTCTGGGTCCAGCACTAAAAGGCAAATAAACAAATGCAGATTCCATTTTCATGTTCTCAAATCGTTCAGGTATAAACTCTTCTGGATTCTCATAATTATCCGGATCACGCATTGTATTAAAAAAGTCAACGTAAACCTCTGTAGTCGCTGGTAACACACCATCACCAATCTTTGAATGAGCTGAAATATTTTTGTGTGACATTATGGACTGAGTTTTGTGTTAATTTCTATACAAAATACTTTAATTTTAAAATACGTACAATACTTAAAGTCCGACATAATTTTTCTTCCAATAATAGGCACTGATGGATACAAACGTAATGTCTCCTTAATAACATATTCAGTATACTTTAATTTGTTAAGATCTTGGATTTTAATAGGATTGCTACTACTAAAATTTATAACATCATTAACTTCAGTCAAAATTTTTTCCTGCACCTGAGGGTGTCGAGATATTTCGAATAATGCGAAACAAATTGCCGATGTTGTTGTGTCATGTCCCTCAAACGTAAATGTATCAATTTCCTCACGAATATCCTCATTCGTTAACGGAATTCCATCAACATTGGATTGAAGTAACAAG